TTTTTTGCTGCTCAATTCCACCTGCGATTTTAATTTTCCTAAATTGCGTTCAGATTCACAAAATAGCAGTTTGAAATAGTGATTGCCCACCCGACCCAGAATCTGATAAACCAACAAATCCGACCCGATATACAAATTGAAATTGACTAAATCAAAATTAAAATTACTGTGTTCTTCTTCATCCCTAGAGATACGACGACGATACAGAGCTTCAGAGCTAGAGAGACAGAGCTTGAAATTTTTATATAAATCTTCGGTTATCTATCTGATGGAAGCCAGAATAGTAAGAAGAGTAAAAGAAATGATTCACCTCCGGCCGTTCAAAGTGTCATCAAAAAGTTTGTATTTTTTACATTTACGGGACTTGACAGATGAATGAGACTTCGCTTTTTTGTTTAGCAGTTTGGTGTTCGGATGTTTGTGATAACTTCCTTCAAGAATACATGTTACATTGAGATCTTGCCTCATTTGCAAAAGTCTAATCGCCGTAAGTTACATGTTACAATATATATTATTTCTTAACCCAAAATCTCAGGGTTTAGAAATCCATGTGTTGGCTTTTGAATCAGTCATATGTTTAAGCTTCTGAGGTTCATTACAATTCAATCTATCCTGAATTATGGTGATTGTATATTCAAACATGGATTATGGTGAATCAAATGTTTAGATAAAATTTGGCTGATTTATTGAGTTTTATCTTTGTTATGTTCTTGGAACTTTTGTGTAGAGCTGCCGATACCTAAGGGAAGGAAGAAGAAGAAATATTGGGTTTTCTGAGCTTTGTTTCTTCTGATGGAAGCACATTGGAGATATATGTTTATTCTTTTTACTTAACTTAGAACATGTAGTTGTAGAAAGCAATATGTTCGTTGTATATACTGAGCTTAATCCAATTAACCTCCCTTTTTAATATAAGAAAAGTTTTGCTAATTGATTAAGGAAGGTCACATCAGTTCTTGCTCACCAAAGCTCTCAGTGTCAGTGTGTAAGTACAATAGTGTGGAACAAGACAATGCCACAAAACCTCAAAGATTTGATACTGCAATTCAGTTCATAATTTGTTTAAATATGGAGAAAACAGAACATTTTATAGAATTACTATATTTAATTTTCCTTCAAAACCCAGTTACAGAAGCGATTAGATACAAGACCAACTCTTGCATCGACAAAATAGCCTGTATTGTTGGCATTTTCTGCGTCCCCTCAGTGTTCCAAACAATATTTAAGTAGTTGTTAGGTCAGCAATAAGGACTTGCCAAGTTATTGATTGATAAAACATGAAGATTCATACTATAGGCTTACCGTAACTCCAGCACGAGAAACAACCTTAGATTTGTATATGACATCGAAGTCAGCATCCACATCCACATCATACAAAAATCACATGACATCAGTTTCTACATTGATTTGAGTAATATATTTATGTTTCAAATACCTGACATATATATTTAAAATCGAAAACAAAACTTAATAAGCAAATACATTAGCAAATACACTTAAATCTAACAGCAAGAGAAATCGAATGATCTACTTCACTGTCCGTTAAGTAAAAAAAATACAAACTTTTTGATGACACTTAAACGGCCGGAGGAGAATCATCTCTTTTACTCTTCTTACTATTCTGGCTTTCATCAGATAGATAACCGAAGATTTATATAAAATTTCAAGCTCTGTCTCTCTAGCTCTGAAGCTCTCTCTCTCTCTGTATAGTCGTCGTTTCTCTCGGGATGAAGAAGAACATCGTGATTTTAACTTTGACTTTAGTTAATTTCAATTTGTACATCGGGTCGGATTTATTAGTTTATCAGATTTTGGGTCGGGTGGGCAATCACGATTTCAAACCGCTATTTTGTGAATCTGATCGCAATTTAAAAAAATTAAAGTCGCAGGTGGAATTGAGCACGAAAAAAAAGTTTGGAGAGGAGTGTCATTAAATGTAATTTTTTTTTTGGGGGGGGGAGGGAATCAAAAGAATCGAGAGTTAAAAGAGTTTGGGTGGATTAAGGCAGAATCAATAGTATAAAGGTGATATAGACAGTCAACCCAAAAATTATTAACTGTTTTTATGCATCTTTTCATATAGTCATATTCTAGAGGTTTCTTTCATTTAAGTATTATCTTACTGTATGTATTTAGTGTCATGAAGTAGAAACTGATTTTAAGATTTCCAGAGCTCAAGATGTGCTGAATCCGTCAATTAGAACTACTTTAAACGGGCAAAATCAGAAAATGTTTATTTCTCACTTACGGGGCCATGTGAACGTTATAAAGAACCTGATCTGATATTGCGTGTGTTGTATGCCTAACAAGATAACTATGTGAAGCTTTCAACACATAAACACATTATTTTATGAGAGTATTTAAATTATAAAATAGTGATTTAAGTTTGTGAAAATTTCGTCTAGTTTCGTTTGTTTTTGTCTAAATACTTAATCTCTAGTTATAACTCCTAAGAATTCCAGGAAGAATCCAAACGCTTACTCCATACATTTTAGCTTATAACTGATTTGCACTGTCTTTAGCTTTATGCACTTTTCCTTTTAAGCTTAATTTATTTTTCTCATTTTATATAGATGCGAGAGCCAGCCTATATAAAACGATTGTTTTACTCTTATTTTATTTACTTTTACTGCAGATCGTGATATAACAAACTAAACCCCCAAACCCCTAGCATTTTTGGATGTTATTTTCTACCTGTTATGCAGCAGACCTCCACGTGGTTTGACCCCTAAGTAGTATAATGCATGCTGTGCATTTGTGTCTTATAGCCTTTATAAATTTAAAGCTTGAGAAAATCTCTAAGAAGTATCCCGATTTTAGATAGCAACTTCTAAGGTCTATTAGTTTTGGCGCCATTGCCACTGGAGATAGGATCAGCTGTCAACATAGGTCAGCCTTAAGACGATTATTGTACTAAGTACTTAAGAAAATACCATAAAATGAGTTAAACTCTATTCAAACTCCTTCAAGATCACCATCTATCATCACCTATCATCACTCATCATCAACCAAATTAAGGAGCCACAGCCGCAGCTGCGACCAGTTGTGGCGCGGCAGAACCCACCTGGTCGGGCCACCCAAGACGATGGTGTGGCAGAAGCCCTGTGGCCGCGACCTCAGCCCTCCTTCGCGCGACAACTTCAGTGACCATTCCCAGAGCAGTTATTATAACAAATCTCTCTAGAATCCATTCCTTGCAAGTTCATAAGGACCCAAGAAGGACATTGAAGTCCCATGCTCAACATACGACCACCCACCCACCCAAGACGCCACTTTCAAAGTAAGTCTTCATGAGCTTGTATTTGAAATTAACTATCATTTTACACTCACTCAGCTTTTTCAAACTATGACCAATTTGATTTAAGCCTGGAAGGTTTCTTATATTACAAATGTGCTTCTATTTCATGAACCTTATGCATGTGATTTTTAAAATTTTGAGTCTTTTTCTAGAGTCAAAAAAGTTCTTTTAGTTGGAAATTGGAACTTTGATAGGTACAAGTTAATTCAAACTTGAAGCCTACTGACCACTGTACAGCGATTAGAAGCAGAGTTTACTAAGTTTAGCATTGCGAGTGGATCGTCCTACCGGAGAAATCTCTGCTGTAGTATAAATATCTTGCGTTGACTCCACACCTAATGAATCTAAATTTCTCATCAAAAGACTTGAGGTACATCGAACTTAGCTCCTATTTTGGACTCTGAGAAGATATGGTTGATGAAATTTCTCTTTAATCTTTCCTTATAAAACAGAAAAAGAAAAGAAAGAAAAACTTGGTTTAAGAATGGCAGCTAGAGTTTCTAAAAGAACAATGACAGTTGGCAGCCTCACAAAAACGTTTTTTCGTAAGGAGGTGAATAGTGAACAATCTTACGCTAAAAAGAAGAAGAAAAAGAAAAGAAAAGGTCAAAAAAAAAAATTACAACAAACTTAGAAAAGTGGGGAAAAAATCAGCTAAGGAAAAAGAAAATAGGAAATCGAAATTGTCTATGTTCAAGTGTTTGAAAGAAAAGAGTCCATGGGTTCTCCAATACTCACTCGAAAGAGACTGTATGTCATGGTTTTACGAACTACTATAAAAGACTATGAACTGTATTTGAGATAGATAAAAAAACTCAAAATAACTAGACTGAAAAGGTTTTGAGTTTGATTTCTTGCTGGTTCAAGAGAATCTGATATCCAGCACTCCAATGTGACCAACTTTGTTAGATCACCTCTTATGATGAAAACCCTAGCAAAGATACTTTAAAACGGAGCTTCACAAGATTTCGCCTGGAATCAAATTCAAGTCAATCGATCAAAGCTCTAACATCAGATTCTCAAAGCTCTACAGAATCAGATCAGACATTGCAAACTTAACCAAAAACTTTGATTTCTTTAGTTTTGTTTTCATTCGTCACGACTCAATGTTGTATAAGATGGAAAATATTACATCCAGAAGCACTTCTTATAAAAGACATTACATTTTAGGCATTTTATGAAACCCACACACTTTGATAGTGCGATTTGTCGTTTATACCCTTACTTATTTTTTTTTATTCTTTACTGGTCAATTTATTATCTTTTTCCCCAAAAATCCCGTCGATGTCACGAGCAATCCCGCTGAATCCGCCGTCGTTAGCTCACCACGAAAGGACTATGCGCATCTTCGCGCAGCTTACGGTCGCCGGTGCTGGGTTCTCTCTCTTCATCTCACTCTCTGTATGCAAATTTAGCCGCAAACGTCGATACTCTAAGGCGGTAGATTCCTCCTCTTCATTGTCGCCTAAGAGAATTTAGATTTGTATCCTGAATCGACGAATTTTTGGGTTTAGTTTGAATTAAAACTAATGTGCTTCTATTTCATGAACCTTATGCATGTGATTTTTAAAATTTTGAGTCTTTTTCTAGTCAAAAAAGTTCTTTTAGTTGGAAATTGGAACTTTGATAGGTACAAGTTAATTCAAACTTTTGCAACATCATTTATGAGTTCTGTTTTGTTTAGAAGCTCTCATTAGTAAGTATGGTTATTGATTTTGTGAATAGATTTGAAGACCAACGATGCAGAAATTGGCTGATTTCAAGCGTCCTTCTTCAACTATCCTCCATACTTCACGTATATCAATGTAGAAATTGGCTGATTTCAAGCTTCCTTCTTCAACTATACTTCACGTATGTCAATATCTTCTTCAAGTTTCTTTTTATTCTTTTCTCCCTTTCTATAGGTTGAAGAAAAGTCCGTTTCTTTTGTTTTCAGTTTGCAGCATGTGAGGGACACTCGTGAGAAGCAAATACAGCTGTGGGAAGAGCTTATTTTCGATTACTGCAAAACCCAAAAAGTTTTCTTGATTGGCGTTGAAGAAGATTTTCCTCTCTTCTCAAACTCTTCCATTGATAGTATGATCCATTACTACCTTTTCACCCGATTATATTTGGTTACGTGTTAGTCTATCTGTCTTATAAACTGCAAATTGTTTTAACTTTAGATTGTTCATTCGTCTTTTAGCCTTCACTGTTAATCTTGTGGCTTTCTGTGTTTCCAAATTTCAAGTGCTTGAGAACATTAGTCGTATTTGATTCGTATGAACTCTAAGCCATGAAGCAAGGGAAACTACAATAGCAAAATTATTTCCGGGAAGTTCATCAATCCATTTCAAATTCCGACGAGAGGATCTCACTCTCACGGCGGAACTCTAAAGCTTTGAAATCTGTCCATCGACAATTTCAATGGCAGGAAGCAGATCTACTACTCAGTTTACACCATGGAAGCAGATTTGTCTTCCAGGAGGAAAGAATTCAGATCCCAACCGCTAATTCAGAATCTCATCGAGTCCGATTCCTTCACCAGCGATTATAATAATGGTGAAAGCAACTCCAGATTCTCCAGGTTTCTTCTTCCTTTTCCTCCTCTGTTTTCGTTTCTAGTTACATTGGATAAATTTTTGGATGTGTTAGCTTCATTGTCTAAGCCTTTAACCTCTGCTAATTAGCTTTTCACGAACTCAATTATCCGAGATTTTAGTGCAACATTGACCATGGTTCGTTAACCATTGTTCTTTGTCCACGATTTGTTGTCTATTTTTCTTTGTCCACGATTTTGTTGTCCATACTACCTTGACCATAATATAATTGACCATAATATCTTGACCATAATATCATGACTAACACTATTGTTTGGACAGGCTTATGCAGAGAATGGTAGTCAGAGTGCATGTCGTTGTGGTTAGAGTGACGTGGTCAGAAACTCTTCTTCTTCTATGTTTGTCTTTGAGCTGGTCCTTGTTTTGACTATGATTTTTCATATGTTTTTCAATTCTATGTTTTTGCTTACTAATTTGATTCTTATGATTTGTGTGTATTGTTGTTTAATAAAATCTTCAAAAATGGAAACACAAGATGATCTGTGGGATTAAAATTGGAGAAAGTTTTCTCCATCTTAGCTTATTCACCAACCAGAGATCTTAGCTTTTTCACAAACCAGAAACACTAAAAACTATTCACTAAAAGCTGTCCATCTTAGCTTCATAAACCAGATACTAGAAGTGATATAAGATTGGAATCACTCCAACTTATGATCACAAGATGATCAAGAGAATTCCAAGCTTATGGTGCGGAATGTGGGATGAAGTCGGAATGGAGGTGGAATTGAGGTGATTGACTCGCTCAACCGGTGGGTTGACTGACTCGCTCAGTCGGTGGGATGGCTGACTCACTCAGCCGTTGGAACTAGCCTTGCCTGAATCATACAAACAAATCTATTCCAAGAATCAAAAGAAACAAAAGAATCACTCTATTGAATCTAAAGACAAGTTGTTTTAAACAAAGAACAATCTTTGAATAAAAAGAACAAAGTTTTTATATTTTTCTTAGATAAAAAGGTGGTTTTACAAATGAAACAGCAATGAGCTTATATAGGCTCAGTACACGTCCTAGGCAATAACTCTAAAGAGAGAATTAAGCAAAAATCAAAGAAAGATCAAAAGGAATGATTAAAAGAATTTTTAACCCATTTGATGAGTGATGGGGGGATTGGCTAGAATCAAGAGATTCTTTGCTGACTTTGTATCTGGATGGCTTGAGGGTGTAGGTTAGCTTCTGTGGGACGATTTTTCTTCTCAAAGAATTATTCAAAAGACTGATGTCTTGGCTAAAAAGTAGCTGTTGTGATTTGAATGAAATCTGCTCCAAATAAGGCAAGTTGGTCAATGGTGGGATCCGCCTGATCCTTTGGTTGCTGGTGCTGGGAACGGTTATAGCTGACTCTCCTGATTGGTGTATTAACTCTCCTGAATGGTTTGATGCTTCTCCTGGTCGCCAAAGTTTGGTTTGCAAGTGATTAAATTCGCCAGCTGCAAAATAAGGTAAGCAGAGCATCCTCTGGTTTAGAAGTTGAATAACTTTTAAACCATAATGAATTTTGGCATGAAACCAATTTTCCTCGGTTCTATGATGAATCAAGTTTCCAAAACATCCTGGATCGTTGCTTGGTTCGTCTTGGTTTGGCCGGAATAATTTTATTAGTACTCGCATGTCTCCATCGGGTCCATTAAAGATCTTCCAACTTGTATCTTCAATATCTTCTTCATATGAACTCCTTTTTGGGTGATTCTTCTTCGTGATAAACCCTGGATGAGTTGAGTATGCTATCCATGTGTTGGTTGACCTTGAATGTTTGATATCAACCTCCATTTGGGCTGAACTCCACTCGAATGCCTCTTTAGCTCTCCTCAGCTTCATGTTCTCCACTTCATGACTCATGGATCCGTGCTCCATGGTTGATGATGACTTGATGTCCGCATCATACTCACCCTCTTCTAAAGGTTTCGACCTCGAAACTATATCTCCTGTACCAAGAAAGAGCAAGTTAGCTTTCATTATATTTTGGGAGTTTAGAGTCTTACCTTGATGCATCTTTGGTTTGGTGAAGTGTGGAACGTCTGGTGGTTCTCCTTTGAGCAGGAAGGATGTGATATCTCCTATGTTCTGGCCTGGTTCATGGCTCCTCTGTTTTGTGGTCTTGATAACCTTGGTCTTTTCCACCTTTGGTGGTGATGCATGTTTGCTTTGGTTTAACAACAAGTTCTCCTCTTGTTGAGGGTCTTTGGACAAGGAACAAGTGCATTATGGGTTTCTTACAAAACTTTAAACTTGTTAAACCTAATTTCTTTTGTTGCAATTTTAAACAAGGTATTGAGTTCTCACTTTTTCTCAATTCTAGTAAGTTCATTACTTTTGAATCTTCAGAAATGATTTTAGTATATAAATGACTTACCTGAGGAACACTCTTAGTGTTTTTGTTTCCCAAATCTGTGAAGTGATACAATGTTTGGTCTGGGGGCTTTTCTTTGAGGCTATCTCCTCTCTCAGCATTGTTATTTGAATGAAGATATCAAATAACAATAACTATAAATTTGTTTGATTTTTTTTGATTTAATAGATGCAAAATAAATCAAGAACAAATTGCAAATAATTTTTTTTTTGAATTTTCGGATTTTAAATTATGCAAATAAAATAAGACAATAATTGTTTTTTTGACTTTTAGATTTTATAAATGCAAAATAAATCAAGAACAAACTGCAAATAATTTTTTTTTTTGAAGAAATCAAATAACAAATAGCAGTAATTTGTTTTTTTTTTAATTTTCGAAATTTAAATGATGCAAATAAAACAAGAACAATATTTTTTTGACTTTTAGATGAAATAAAATATTCAGAAAATTAAGCAAACAACTTTTTATGGATTTTAGATTTTATAAAATTCAATAAACAAGACAATAAATAACAAATCAAAGCAAAACTATTTTTATTTTTTAAAATTAATGAAAGGAAACAAAAATAATAAACAGAATATAAGGATAAAGGTTGGAATGACACAACCTGATGGATAGGAGCTTTTGAAGCTCTGATACCAGATGATATAAGATTGGAATCACTCCAACTTATGATCACAAGATGATCAAGAGAATTCCAAGCTTATGGTGCGGAATGTGGGATGAAGTCAGAATGGAGGTGGAATTGAGGTGATTGACTCGCTCAACCGGTGGATTGACTGACTCGCTCAGTCGGTGGGATGGCTGACTCACTCAGCCGTTGGAACTAGCCTTGCCTGAATCACACAAACAAATCTATTCCAAGAATCAAAAGAAACAAAAGAATCACTCTATTGAATCTAAAGACAAGTTGTTTTAAACAAAGAACAATCTTTGAATAAAAAGAACAAAGTTTTTATATTTTTCTTAGATAAAAAGGTGGTTTTACAAATGAAACAGCAATGAGCTTATATAGGCTCAGTACACGTCCTAGGCAATAACTCTAAAGAGAGAATTAAGCAAAAATCAAAGAAAGATCAAAAGGAATGATTAAAGGGATTTTTAACCCATTTGATGAGTGATGGGGGGATTGGCTAGAATCAAGGGATTTTTGCTGACTTTGTATCTGGATGGCTTGAGGGTGTAGGTTAGCTTCTGTGGGACGATTTTTCTTCTCAAAGAATTATTCAAAAGGCTGATGTCTTGGCTAAAAAGTAGCTGTTGTGATTTGAATGAAATCTGCTCCAAATAAGGCAAGTTGGTCAATGGTGGGATCTGCCTGATCCTTTGGTTGCTGGTGCTGGGAACGGTTATAGCTGACTCTCCTGATTGGTGTATTAACTCTCCTGAATGGTTTGATGCTTCTCCTGGTCGCCAAAGTTTGGTTTGCAAGTGATTAAACTCGCCAGTCGCTAAATAAGGTAAGCAGAGCATCCTCTGGTTTAGAAGTTGAATAACTTTTAAACCATAATGAATTTTGGCATGAAACCAATTTTCCTCGGTTCTATGATGAATCAAGTTTCCAAAACATCCGGGATCGTTGCTTGGTTCGTCTTGGTTTGGCCGAAATAATTTTATTAGTACTCGCATGTCTCCATCGGGTCCATTGAAGATCTTTCAACTTGTATCTTCAATATCTTCTTCATATGAACTCCTTTTTGGGTGATTCTTCTTCGTGATGAACCCTGGATGAGTTGAGTATGCTCTCCAAGTGTTGGTTGACCTTGAATATTTGATATCAACCTCCATTTGGGCTGAACTCCACTCGAATGCCTCTTTAGCTCTCCTCAGCTTCATGTTCTCCACTTCATGACTCCTGGATCCGTGCTCTATGGTTGATGATGACTTGATGTCCGCATCAAGAAGCTTCAGCAACCATAAGACACCATTCCCGTTTAACATAGATGCATCGATTGGGATGACAATAGGTGAGCATACCTAATAATTTTGTTGGGAGACTAGAGTAAAATAATACAAAATATGTTAATTATGTCCACATAAAACAGAATCAGAAAAAGGAAAAAATTGATTTACAGGAGAGACTACATGGATCTACGCTTGCGAAGAGAAGATGAAGCCATATCTTAGAATGTGTATTTATTTACGATGAGAAGATGAAGCCATATGTTGGAAAAAAGAAACTAAGGTGCACTAGCAACATCTAATAGCATCCAATGCTTAATTTTCACCATTGTTTCTTGCCAAACTCTTTAACACTCTCTTAAAGTCAATTTTCACCACTGTTTATTGTCAAAACATGACTAATAAGATCATGTCTCCCTTATGCCAAGTTCCGCTCTCAGTTCCATCATCAATACATAAGTGTCCAACTTGTTTTAGACTACTTTTAATCTATATATTTTTGTTTTTGCAGATTTCTTCATTGTCCATTCATAAGTGTCCTTACATATAACTCCGTTACTGTGGCTAGTATTTTCATGGTTGTCTTCTCCGCCGTATGCAACAAAACCTTTGGATTATGAATCAAGCAACATTGACCACCCAGAAATTTTCACCATGCATGAAACTTTGACCATGAAACGTTAACCACAACACATGCTTAGCTAATTAGAATCCTCTAATTCTCATAGTTCACGATTGACCACGGAATATAGACCAAACAACATCGACTACCTAATGTTGACCACACAAACCATTGTCCAGACAACATCGACCACAAAAACCATAGTCCAATGTACAACACATCTCTACCCTCATCGTCTTCTCCGCTATACACACTAATCAGTATTCACAAACACAAGAATCAAAATCCCACCTCTTCGATAACAAACCAGATTGCGAAATCTAGAAACTTTCAGTTTTGCCAGAGTTCCAATGACGCCGGTAATGTCCGTCATAGTGCGAAAGATACGGCAGCTCTTTTTGTCTTCGGTTTTGAGCTTCAGAAGCGTTTATTGACCTCAAATCTCTTCGATTTTGAGTTTCGAAAGCTTTTGTTGAGCTCCAATCTCTTCGATTTCAAATTCAGATACACATTCATATGACCCAAAATAAACGAAGGGAAACTATCAATTTCGAAAATTCAGCCTCTTCTACATCATTAAACTTCAACATAACTTTCAGCGGCGGAGCTAGCACCGAAAACATAAATCTGTTTTGCTTCAGCAGATTCTTCATAGGCTCCACTTGTAATTTTTCTTTACCACGGTTATAATTAAACTCACCAAACCATCATAAACTTAAAATATCAAAGAGAAAGACAGAATTGAATTTTCAACTTCTCGTACCCCACACAAAGTATCCAGGTTTCAAAAAGTGTCTCCCTTGAAATTGAAAGTAGTATAAGTGCTCTCCCGTATAAATAACTCTATAAGATGAGCTAGCTAAACTGACATTAAATTTGCATGACTCAGGCCCAAAATAATAAATGAATTAAGTTTTGGACAAAAAAAAAAATTGAAATATTAATATTGTCAAGTGTGGTGGTCACAACAAATTCGCCGCAATTTGTTAAATCCGTTGGAATATGCTATTTATCCAAGATGAATCAAGGATCTAAAATGAAAACGATATTTATTATTAATACAAAGGAAGAAGAGAAAACAGATCTGAATTTAGTTCATCCTCAAAATTTGAATCGGTTCGAGTTCTTTTTGTCTTCTAATGGTTAAGCGTACAACTTAAAAGGCCAAAAGGACAGCGATTTATTCTTTGTTTCTGTGTTTCTTTTTATTTTAAGGATCTTTGTCCGTTAGTAAAACTCTATAAAGTAAAACTGTAACTTACCACCAAAACGAAATTTTCCAAAACAAAATAAAATAAATAATAAAAGAAAATATCAATCTTCTTCTTCATCATCGTGTATCACGACCTCTGTGCCTCTTCTTCTCTCTCAAAGGCCACTTCAATCTCCTGCAGCTTTCAGATATTTTCTTCTGTGTTGATCCCCCAAAAAATAAGATTTTTTCGAACTTTTATATAAAAGTAAAGTAAAATTAGATATATTGTATAACTGGTTTATGTGAGTATATATATTAATGGAGATCTGTCTCAATGTCTTGCTTCTTCTTTACTCACTAAATCTTTTGCTGCGATTTCTTCTTGACTCTTAAGTTTGTGTTGATTTGGAGTATTCTTTGCTTTGTTGGTGATTTCAGAGAGAGAGATTCTTAGCATTTCTTGGAATAATTTTAGCTTCTGAATCTGTGATTTGGTGATTTTCGAAAGTGGAGAAAATGAATCGGAGGCAGCAAGTTAAGCGTAGAGTAGGCAAATATGAAGTAGGAAGAACAATTGGGGAAGGAACTTTTGCTAAAGTTAAATTTGCAAGAAACTCTGAAACTGGTGAGCCTGTGGCTCTCAAGATTCTTGATAAAGAGAAAGTCCTCAAGCATAAGATGTCTGAACAGGTTTAGTGTCTCTCTCTCAATCTTCAGTTAAATGATAATCTGTTTCGGTTTGATTTTGATCCGGAACTTATCTTGCTTACAGATCAGAAGGGAAATAGCTACTATGAAGTTGATAAAACATCCAAATGTTGTTCAATTGTACGAGGTAACACTCCTCAAAAATCATTGTTTCTTTGATTTAAGACTATCATATACTTCAAGATAGCATTGATTTTTGCAGGTGATGGCAAGCAAGACAAAGATATTTATCATCTTGGAGTATGTTACAGGAGGAGAACTCTTTGATAAGATTGTAAGTTAGCACAATTTTATATAAATGGTGATTCTGTGATTGATTGAAAGTGTCACCTTGTAAACTGAAATCCGATTTCGGTGAAGGTAAATGACGGGCGAATGAAAGAAGATGAAGCTCGGAGATATTTCCAACAGCTTGTACATGCTGTGGACTACTGTCACAGTAGAGGTGTATACCATAGAGACCTCAAGGTACACTCAAAGAAGCAACCTTATGCACATGTTGTGTGTAACATTTGATTCACTATTCTGTCTGTATGTGTTTTTGCAGCCTGAAAATTTACTATTGGATGCTTATGGAAACCTCAAGATCTCAGATTTTGGATTAAGTGCTTTGTCCCAACAAGTCAGGGTAATATTGACCATCCGTTTCCATTTGTTTTAGACATTCTTTATGTTCCAAGAAATGATTTCATTTGTTTCCCAAGTGTTTATGGATTTTGTTTTCGGAAAATTTATTCATTATTTTTTGTAAGACCATCTCCAATGATTTTTCAAATTCAACATTTTCCTTCATTTGAAATAAAAATGAAAACATTTCTTCAATTGTGTTTAAATTTCATCTTCAAAATGAATCAGTGCATAGTGTTGATTCATTTTTTCTAAGGATTTTTTAAAATTTTGTTATCGAAAATTTTATTCATATGTATTCTCAAACACGGTTTATATGCTTTTGGGGTAGCAGGATGATGGACTACTTCATACATCGTGTGGGACTCCGAACTATGTTGCTCCTGAGGTCTGCCTAAACAACATAATCTCTTTGTTCTTACGCCTTTTAAGGGATATTATAAATATATCTCTAATCTTTCTTGTTTAAAGGTTCTCAATGATAGAGGCTATGATGGAGCAACAGCAGACATGTGGTCATGTGGTGTTATACTCTATGTCCTGCTTGCAGGTTACTTGCCTTTTGATGATTCTAATCTAATGAATCTTTATAAGAAAGTGAGCAACTACTTTTTTACAAATTCTCTCAGTTAGATGGAATCTTGCACCAAGTTTTGTAACATATCATCTTGTGAATTCTTTTCTTTGTATAGATTTCATCTGGTGAATTCAACTGTCCTCCATGGCTCTCACTTGGCGCCATGAAACTGATCACTCGTATCTTAGATCCGAACCCAATGACCGTAAGTAATTTAAAATGCTACTACACTTGTTGCTTAAGAGTTTTGATACAACTATGAACTGTATTCATGAAAAAAGGAAGTAACAAATCCAGGAGTAGAGCAATGAGCTAATATTCTTTCCTTTTTACCATTTATAACTGTCTTACTCAATCATGTTTTCCATTTTATCCAGCACAAAAGGGCTGGAGAAATAAAAACGTTGGAGAACCTCTGTTATACATATTAAAATGTACAACCCTTTTCTGCTTCATCTATCATATTTAATTAGACACTTTATATGATCATTTTTGGCGAAATCCACCAATAATCCTCGAATTGGGTTTAAAGAATAGTAGATATGCTTAAATAAACATTTCTTTTGATTACCTGAGAATAAGGATTTACAACAACGATTGTTAGAGAGTGTATTCAATCTAACATTTGGAGGTATTTGAAAAGATTTGAATTTTTTAATGGCTATTTAGATATTTTGGGTGAATTAGAAAAATTGTTATGATATGCTATTAAAATTCAATGAAATCTCATCTAAAATACCGATTTCTGGATTTTTATATTATACTACGAAAATTCACTAAACACAATCACCAAAAAAATCATCGTAAATCCCTACTTAAGTTGTTTTTCAATAACACTGGATTTGAAGGAATATGTCAAATAACTAGTTTAATACTTCAATAAATGAGATTTTGAAAGCATGTTTGAATAACATATGATATGATCTGTCATTCTAATATATATACTCTAAATGCTAGATTAAATTTAGAGTTTGTATTTGCTAATGCAAGTTGGGCTAAGAAACTGAGTTGATGTGGTTTTGTGTATCAGCGTGTAACACCACAGGAGGTCTTTGAAGATGATTGGTTGAAGAAAGATTACAAGCCTCCAGTGTTTGAGGAGAAGGATGATTCAAACATGGACGATGTTGAAGCTGTTTTTAAAGACTCTGAGGTGAGGATAAGTGTTTTATTTTTTGTTTTCTTCATTCTTGCAATTAAGAACATCATCACATAATACATGTGATGATCATGCACAGGAACATCTTGTTACTGAGAAGAAAGAAGAGCAGCCAGCAGCAATCAATGCCTTTGAGATTATCTCAATGTCAAGGGGGCTTAACCTGGAGAATCTATTTGATCCAGAACAGGTTTGTTTGTTTGTACACTATAGTGTTTATATAAAAGAACTAGCATGAACACAAAATAATCATGTTTTGTATCACCCTATCAACAGGTATTTAAGAGAGAAACGAGGATAACACTGAGAGGAGGCGCGAATGAGATCATTGATAAGATCGAAGAAGCCGCGAAGCCTCTAGGTTTTGATGTTCAAAAGAAGAACTATAAGGTTAGTGAAAAACTCTTGAAAGGAAATGAAATTTGAAAAAAAATAAAAAATAAATAAGATGTGGTATTACTTAATCAGATGAGGCTTGAGAATGTGAAGGCTGGGAGAAAAGGGAATCTCAATGTGGCAACAGAGGTACATTAATTTCATGAGACTTTACTAAGAAAGTGTTGGTGATGGTTTATATGGCTTTTTCATTCAATGTGTTTGTTTTATATGTATGCAGATATTCCAAGTAGCACCAAGTCTACATATGGTTCAAGTTTCTAAATCTAAAGGAGACACCCTCGAATTCCATAAGGTAACTCCATAGTTGTGTTTAGAATAACGTAATAGGTTTTGTACCGGTTTACGGAGCTAAGAAGAGGTTATAATGTGTGTTTGCAGTTTTACAAGAAGCTATCTAATTCTCTGGAGAATGTAGTGTGGACAAACAACGAAGCTAAGAAAGAAACAGGAAAGTGATGTATGAATGTGTTTGATCTTTTGGGACCAGCTTGGTTTCTTTGTTTATGAGTTTTTCTGCTTTTCCGGCTACTTTGTAAGGATGATGGGAGAAGAGTGGGATTGATTTCTGTAAGAAAGGTGTAAATATGAACTGTGATACCACTTAAAAAGTCATATCGAAGCTTTTTTTGGATACTCATCCGGATCTCGGGTAATACCAGACCTGAACGAAAAATCGAATTATCTAAAGAGAAAGATCCACTCGCATATTTAAAAAGTACCGGACCCGATCTCAGCCACTTTTCCAGATTGGTGCCCGTTTGGACTTTCGGATCCGGGTATTATGCCCACGCTCACAAAGCTATAAAAAATCATATTTGATCATTAATATTTGGATCAACACTATTTACCATTCAAATAACTAAAGATCATCTTGTAACTGGGTTTCATAATACAACATTCAAGAGAATTAACTTGAAAGCATAACAATGCCGATTGCACAAAACAAAAAAAAGAATCTCTTCTAATCAAGTATACATATCAGAGGACTTCACTCCAGTCACCTCCTTTTGAATATTGATTCCTTGTAGTACTTAAGCTCCTTGATGCTTTCTCTTATATCATCCATGGCTCTGTGATTGTTTTTCTTTGCAGGAGCTCTGCTTTTCTCTGTGCACAACACATAAACACATTCAAAATCTGACAACCAGTCCCAATCTCACAGAAAACATGCATGTTCAGAGAGTTTCTTCAATATCTTACCTTTGGGGAACCATCTGAAGCACAAAGCCTTGACGCTACTGACATCGACAAGTACGTGAGGGAAAAGAGCAGCCAAATCTGGCATGTACTTCTGTGAAATACATCTAGATTAATTACGAACAAGATGCAACTGTTTAGCATCGAACCGAGTGGAAATATTGAAAAGTTCGAGCTACCTTTAAGAAGAGGAAATCCACATACACAGAGTTTCCAGCTAAAAGTGGATTTTCAGAACGAACATGCTTCTTTACAAAATCAACCACCTGCAAAGCAAAACAGAATATAACCATTTACAATCACCTAAAATGATTTTTTTAACTTTTCAGCCAAATTAACAACAGCTTAACCACGTATCACATGATTTCAAATACCTCTTGCTCAGCTTGCCTTTCACTTATCGTACTAAGGAGCACTTTCTTCGTCAACCCTGAAATGATTTTCCAGAGGATATAGAGTTCAAATCCATGGTAAAAGACAGAAAATCTAGTACGATGAATATCTTGATAGAAGCTTACCACTGGCTCCATGATGAGTTTGACACCAGTCACCCATTTTATCCATACAGTCTTTTGTCTGATGTACAACTAAATCTGGACCCTAACAGCAGATAATTTTTCTCAATAACAAATCCAAATAAAGCAGTTACTTTCTCAATAACAAAATGAATCAAGAGATTTTGCAAAGTACCCTAAAAACAGTATTATCATATTCACGATTAAATAAGGTGTAATTATACATTCTTTCAAGAACTTACTGATCCCTTTTCCCATCACATTACAATGATTTTGAGACATGACAATATTACATTGGTCAGTATTTCGACTTTTTCAACAAGGTATCTAATCGGATAAGAAAGTACCACTTTTCCGGATTGAAAACAGTTTCAACATTTGTTCAAGAGAAATTTCAAGGACACTGAACAAGTTCTTAGGAAGCTTTTGCAGAAACAAAGTTGTAACTTGTAATTATAGTATTTTATAAGTTAAGGTAGAGAAGAATATACCTCCACTGATTTGGTTAATTTTCCATCAGTAATTATACATGCAATCTCCAATATCCTGTCAACTTCAACATTTAGACCTACACAATATAGTAAGAAAAAGAAAATCGATAATCGAAAATGGACCAAGATCCTTTTATCTTGTTTAACAGTTAACTAACTACATGTGGTAAGTAAAGTAATCAAACGAGTTGTATTTTCTCAAACACTCAGGGCTACCTTCAAAGGAACAAAATATCATTATCTTTGTCAAAACAAAACATACAAAAATTAAAAATCTGTGTATCTGTTTAAACTAATGAATGTAACTTTAATTGAAGAGACCAACAATCTGTATGTACATGTTTACATGACCAGGCCATATGTGGAGGATACGCAGAGAAAAATCACAAGACAAAATTAAACTGAACAAGAAAAGTGTTCAAGTTTTTTTATATCATTAAAACAAGAACGGTCTTCCAAAAAAATACAAAAAAAACAACGGGTAGAACACTAAACTAAGATACCAAAAAACCCAATCTAAAAATTGATAATTATCAGACAAAGTCTCGATGAACAAGTTCAACATACCAGTCATTTCCAGGTCAATCCAGACAAGTGGTTGCTTGTAATATTCAACCTCAAGTGACCCATTTGCTCTTTCTCCTTGTTTCCCTGCAAAGATCACATGAATCAATAACAAAATCGAATTAGTCATAAAATATAATATGCAAACCTAAACTCTATAAATCGATTTTATTAATCAATAAACTAATATATCAATTGACTCCACAAAGTTTTCTCTACAGAGAATTAGTCAGAATAAAAAAATCACGAAATCGAAAAGTTAAACAGAGGTGAAGAAATGAATCGAAGAAAAAAGAGGGAAGCCTAAGTGGAAAAGAGAGAGTATACCAGGGGGAGAAGAGGAAGAAGGAGAAGCGATGGGAGCATCTTCGTCGGCGAAAGCGAGGAGAGAGAAAGCATTGGAAAGCTTGTCCATTTGGTTTCCTTTTCTTCGAGGGACGAACGTAACCTAAAGGGGAATCCCTGAAGAAAGAGGAATCATTTACTTACTAAAGGTTTGAATGGTATGTACTTACTAAAATGATGGAATGGCTCGATAATAAACTAATGAAATTAATAGTTTATATAAATTGAAAGCGAATAAATTTAAAACGTTAAAAAATTAATAAAATTGAATGGTATACAGTTTTTTCAGGTTTTCACATTTTGAAAATTTGATTTGATTAATTGAAAACTATTCATAATATTAAGCATTAAATGATAAAATATAAAAACTAATATCTTATTTTCTAATTTATCCTGCACGTTTTAAATTTATAACTAATTTAGAGAAAAATTTATTCATCTAATAGATACTAGATTTTCAGCGTTTTGAATTTATTCAGTTTTTAGTTTATGCGTTCTATTGATTTCGATAGTTTAATATTCAGATATTCCTCTATTCTGCTATTAAGTTAACATACCATTCTAATGAATAATTTTTTCTTTAAATGAATTATAAATTAAGACATGCATTATAGATTAAAATATAGCGTGTTAATTTTTACTTTTTATGATTCGGTGTTTAATATTATGAATAGTATATATTCAGTGAAATCATGTTTTCAAAACACAAAAGCATGAAAGCTATATACTATTCAACTCCTTAGATTAATTTTCTTTCTTTGTCAACAACCTCGATTAATCTAAAATCTCCTTCTTATTTGATTTAATTTGATAGAATGTACAAGAATTCAAAAATAATTGATTTTTAAGTAATTTAAAGTATTTTGTAGGAATTTAAACTAATTCTATCAAAATCCTAGTAAAAATGGTAGGAATTGGTTCTGAACAATTTTTATGTGAGATTCTATTAAATTCCTTCCAAATGATAATACAATCAAAACTATTACAAAATTGAATAACACATATATTTAATAGAATTGAAAAATTAGTATATTGAATAACAATAATATTTAAAGGATTTTGAAAGAATGTATGGAAACACTTAATCCAATAACACAAATATTTAAAGGAATTGATAAAAATATATCATTGAATAACACTGATATTTAATAGAAACTTCAATTCTTTTCAATTCAATCCAAATTCTAAATCCAATACCCCCACCTTAAACTAAAAATTATGTTGGCTGTAAAAAATTTCAACAACACTATTCACATCTCGTCCAATAATACTGATTACTATTTCTCAGTATTTTTCCAATTAATATGTTAAACTTATAGTTAATTTATAAGACTAATCCAATTTCTTGGTACTAATCTTTTTACTAATCATCAAGTCAAGAACTAATTCTCATTAGTGAAATAACAAACAACAAGCATTCAGACAATCTATCAATCCAGTAATGCCAAATCACTCCCTATACAGTCAATCTCTTGATCTATGACATGCAATTCTCTTGCAAAGCAGTTCAGGCAATTCATCAAACACTTAGTGGGCATAAAATGAGCCTAAGATCCTAATCAACTTAGCTAAGGCTAGTTAGGCATTAAACAAAGCAATCGAGAAAGGAAATGGAAGAAGTAACACTAGGCAACCATAGATCAAGCATCAAATTCCCTAAACCTAACCCATATGAAATCCCTAAGTGACTACTCACTAATCACCATCAAGACCATAAATCCAAAGAAGAAAAGATAGATAATCATGATTAGAGAGGCTATACAAGAAGATAAATGCAAACTTATATTAACATGGAACAAGGATTCAAACTACAAAATCAAAACAACAACAAAAGAGGAAAAAATTGCTGGATAATAGGATCATCCCAGAAATTAGGGATTTGAAGTATTTATAGGAGTCTAAGCGGAGTGGCAAATTTATAAATAATTTGTCTTCAGACTGGGTCAACATCCATCAGACTTGGTCGATGCTGGTGATTGATGTGCTTACATCAATCTGGTCTGCTCGATGTAACTGATCGATGTAGGTCTTCTGGCGCTTGACTTCGAGCAGTCTTTGATCGATGTGAACTTCAAGGCTCTCGGGTCCATTACATCGCATGATGCTAATGATCACTCTTAGTGATCGATTTAAGTGATCGATGTAAACTCTGTTTCTCTCTGCTTCATCACATCGTTTGATGTGGACTTCTCTGTGATCGATACTAGGCCGAATTTCTCCTTTCTTGGTCCTTCTTGGTCCTCCTTGATTGGGGGGGAACTGCCTGGATCATTCCACCACTTCCTCCTTGTCTTAAATGGCTCCTTAAGTACCTAGAAACATCCCTTATGCAAGGAAAATGCAAACTACATCCTAACTGCAATCTAAGTCTAAAAACAAAGAAGAATGGGACAAAAGCAAAGGAAAACATGAAAAAGACGACTAAGATATGAACTAAATGCAAGTTTAAATGCTGTAAATGTAGGAGATATCAACACCCTCACACTTGCCTTTTGCTTGTCCTCAAGCAAATAAGAAAAAATGGGAGAGTGAGGCTTGAAAGTGTGAGCTCAAAACTAAAGATGTCAATGGAAAAACTGATTCAATACCCAAGTTATAGGTTCTAAGATGTAAATAGATTTTTCTACTTCAAAATATTTAGCCATACTTATCATAGAAAACAATGTACTCCAGCTTAGCCTACACAAGCATTCAAATCAGCCAACTCTTTAACATTCATTAATGGTAACCAATGGATCAAGTTTTGCAAATCAAGTGAAAACATTTGGTTAAAGGGATATGGTCATGAGATGAAAATGATCTCATTCAGATAAGGGTTCAAAGACATAAGGGATCACTCAATCAAATGATTCTATCTTATGCAAAATGCTAAAGGTAAAAGCACACCTATGTATGCAAGTAAAAGCTCTCTTCTACCCTTTTTACCCCAAGATGAACCTATTATATTCTAAAACCAAACTGAAACCCCTAATTCTACCTTTTCCCAAAGCACTTCATCTCTTCTTCCTTCATGTTTGGGGGAAACTCCTTCTTCGTTTTGCTTGTGTGGTTGATTCTTTATTGGAACTTGCTCTTCTTTGTTGTGTAATTGGCGCCATTTTCTTCACCTTTAGTGGATTGCTTGGTCTGATCTCTCCTTTTGGGATGACCTTTGTAATCTTTGTTGTTGTTGACACCTTCTTTTTCTTTAACACTTAGAGCTTTCCTTCCTTAAACTTAACCACAAACTTACCTTGATTTCCCTATACTACCATACCAATACTTCTTCTCCTCCTTTTAAAGGATATAAACAATAAAACACAAACCACTTATACTACACTTTCCCAAACTCCTAACCTAATACCGAGCTTAAGATGAGAAGAGAAGAAGATAACCCAAGTATGTATATGGGTAGCCATGTGAGCACTCTCAATGAATAAACATGATAATTAAATGTCAAGATTATAGTTTTAATAAAAAGATTTGGCATCAAATCAAAGCAAGCTTCAGCATATGACAAGAATATCAATGCAAGTATTCAAGATATGGTGCAGCTTTAACTTCAAACTCACTATAATGCAATTAAACATCAGATAACCAAAGCATTGAAAACAACTCAAACATTAACATCTTGACAAATGTTTATCATCTACTCCCTATGCAAAACTATATGAAATGCATTTAGACTCAATCTTAGTTATGCAAATGCAACTAGATGATCTTTTTAGATGGTCCCATGGATCTTCTAGTGGAAGGCCATGGAACTTGTTGTTCTGCACCATTGAGGTGAAACAAGACTTGATTTCAAAGTTGTTGTTTGGTACTGGTGGAGGGATGATTCCATTCCTATTGTTATAGGCATTAGGAGCATCACCGGCACCAATGGGTCTCATGGAGCGTGCTCCATGTGCTGGTCCTCTCTGACCTTGCTCATCCTGAACTTTTTGCTGTCCTTGAACACCAGCAACACCCTGAACTCCTGGTGCACCTTGAGGACCCTGAAACCTGACATCATCAGCACCATGTTACTCAATGTTGAGCTGGTGAAACCTTTGCAGTCTTTCTCTGCTTGCTCTCACTGCTCTCTCAAGTTGCACAATGTTGTTCTGGTAAGCAGATTCTGATTCCCTATAGACCTCAAACGCATGCACTTTTAAGAGAGAAAAAAGAGTAGAACAGAGTAAGCAACCAAATTAAAATAAAAAGCTTGATCTTAAAGATTCTACAAATCTTAATGATCTAAACATAGACCAATGCCAACGGCGCCAAACTGATACACAGATTTGTCTGTCTTTCTCAATCACCCAAGCCTGTACTAATCATTGTAGTATAGCATAAGGTTTTTATCAGTCCAAAAGTCTAAGATAGATACCACTAGGAATGCAATAGAATGCCTTAAGTCAAGCTAAATCAGAGAAAGACTTGTTTAAACTACTCACTATTCATCATGTAAACCTTGAAATCACAAAAGAAAAAGATGTTAAACATGATTAAGAAGAGAGATAAAGAAGATTAAAATTGCAAATACAAAATCTTAGATTAAAATAAAGATCTTGTTCTTACGAAAACAGAAAAGCAATCAAGAGACTAAGCAAGAACAAGACTTTCTAAAATCTATTGGTTCAAGGGTATTTATACTAAATGACAAAAACCCTAAAGAGTGGAAAACTTGTAAGTAAAAGCAGT